GAAAACAAACTGATGGCACCAACTAATTAAAAAAAACTCGACAAGTTTTGGAAATTTTACCTCTGAAAATGTAGAAAATATATCCAAAATCCTGTGTATTTTGTCGGGAATTAATAAAATTTAGGACTAGCTCGTCATTATCATCTGGTGACATTTACTTTAAAAATCCAAATCAAGTTTGCGTGAGTTTCTTAAAATTGCTTGATGTACCGCTAATCATTTCATCGGTTAATTAGTTCGATGCAGGATATACTATGATTTGAAACCCAATCTACTTTTTTCACTGAATTTTGAACAAACTTCTTGCTTTTGATCAAAACAAAATTCAAACAAAGTAACATATGCTTAATTGAATCAGACGAAAAGTTGAATAGTTCCATTGTCGTTCAAAATGACTGCAGTGAGTTTTTCAGGTACAAACTAGGAAAAAATCACTATTTGATTGAAGAATTTTTTTTTCTTAACAATAAGTTGCTTAAATGATAATTGTTATTTTCCAAGAGGTATTTTTTTTGAACGAAATTCTTCTTAATCTTTATGGATCTGTTGACAAAGTTCAAACCAGTCTGTTATGATCTTTGAGCCATTTTTAGAAAAACCCATAATTTTTAAACATTTTTTTTCGACATGTGAGCTCGTGACATCGATATACTTCATAATAGGAAAATTTCATGCTAAATTTTTTCAAACATTGTTATTTTAAATATTGAAAATAGTCTGGTAGAAGGGAACACCGAGCTCAAACATCATGTAGCAAAGTTGTAAAAACAGTTCATGTCTGTTCGAGATTCTTTGAAAACGAGGCAAGCTTGGGTCAACTTCAACTTATTTTGCAAAAACATCTCAAGCTCTTTGTCGTTAAGCAAGCTTTGGTAATTAGTCTCTTTGAAATATGAGTAATAAATCAATCGATGAAATCTCATTTAAATCAATTTTTTCGGTGTTTCGTCATAAATTGCTATCAAATTGTTTGTTAATACAAACATTATCCACTTTGACCCTGCCTGTTTTTTGAAAGTTGGAATTAATTTATCTGATGCATGCGCTGAGAATTCGAATTTGAACTGGAGGATTTTAAAATGAGCAACTGCTTAATCTCAAATAGTTCTTTTCATGTTTTTTTATCAAAGCAAAATGAAAAACGGTCCCCACAAAAAGATAATGCAAACGTGATCTCACATAACGATCAGTTTTGTAGAAAAACGCAGAGGTCGTAGCTAGAAAACAGTAGCATTTTTTTTTTGAATTTTTCATGACTGGACGTTGATGAAACTATTCTGAAAATCTAAAAATACCGGCTTTGTGTTGATTTTTTTTACATACTATCACAGTACTAATGATTTAAAATAACAAAGCTTCATCAAAATCCAATTATCACTTGCGTAACCACCCTTACATGAGCCAAAACATCACCAGTAACCCTTACGATAATTTTGAGGGTTAGAATCAGCATAATCGACAACCATGCAACAATACGCAAGAAATTCAATGGTAATTTTCTTTTACAAACAAACTAGTAAACTTGCTTCTGTTTCTTATCTTAACTAGTATCTCTCTGTTTGCAATACGTGATCTTGATCAAGTTGTTTTATAGCTGTCTAAATAAACGAAGCTAAAGAAACAATTTTGTATAGTTGTCACAGTTTTCCCACATAAGCCTTACACAGTGCCAATCTTGCACACTTTAAGTTCAAATTTGGCGTCTCTCAATCGCACCAGTGTTTTCATTTTTTATCTATTTCGTTCTTGTTTTTATTCTAACCAATACTATTATGGTTTTTTAAATTTCAAAAACAAATTGAAGCAAGCAGGGGATAATCGTCCAAACCCTGGTCTCTTGATAAAATATGAAAACCTCACACACAAGTTAGACAATTTTAAAGATATTCTTAAAGTCCTGCATCTTAACTGTAGAGGTTTAAACGGAAAGCGAGCAGAGCGCAAAATTTTTGTGAAAAAAAATAGGGGATAATGCAGCTTTTGGTTTTTTTTTGGCAACTTGGTTTGATGATTCAAACGACGAAAAACTATGGACAGTAGACAGTTCAAAGTTTATCCATTTTCGGTCTGATCTTCAGAAAACTGCAAAAAGTGTAAAGGAAGCTGTGTCATGCGCAATTTATGACGAAATGAAATTTTCAGAATTGAAAATTAGAACATTTCTTTTGAGGATAAGCTGCCAAAGCTGCTTCAGACAAAATACTACTGAGGAGGAGTACAATTTTTGCTGATCAAATATTGTGAGAATCATCTTTTTATATACCTTGCCTAAAACCATATATTTATAAGAATTGATAAACCTAGAATGAATATAAAGGAAAAACATATATCAGAAATGATTTTGTCAAAAAATTGAGCGCCAAAATGGATTATCATAAATGACACAAGAACTTCAAAAAAAACAGCAATTAGCATTTCTTCTAAAAAACAATTTTGGAAAATCAATAACAAATCATATCAAAATGGCAAACATCCTTAACCACAGGTTTTCAACAGTGAGCTGTTTTTCTGACCACAAAAACAAGGTTCTCATTATTTTTGGAGATGACACAACTCATTCAGAAAAAAAACTAAAAAAAAGTTTTCTTTTCGTTTTATTACTACCGTTGAATACAAGGAAAAACTACTGAACCTTAATGCAAAAAAAAACCTTCAGGTCAGTCTGATATTCCAGCATGGGCTATGAAAGACCAGTGCAATGAAATTTATATGGACCTACCATTACTTCTAAATGAATTTTTGAATATCGATATGTTTCCGACGCTACTCAAATTGCATTTTTCACGGATTTTCATTACAAAAAGACGATCCAGAAACCCAGAAAACTACAAGCTTATTTCAATAACTGGACCTTATATGAAAAAAAGTTGTATAATTAAAAAAATAAGTATCTACAATCAAATAACATTCTAAGCAACACTCAATTTGGGTTTCGAACGTCTTATTCAACCATTGACGCTATCTTATACTACTCAGAAGTCTTTAGAGAAGCAATTGACAGCAACAAATACTTTGCTTGCTCCTTACTAGATCTATCAAAAGCACTCGTTTCTATTTATCATAAATTTCTACAAATAAAAAAAATTTGGTAAATTTTTTAAGAAGAAAGTGCAAATACCATGTTAAACTCATTCATGAGCAATTGACAGCAAGAAAAGATTATAAAAATTGTCGAAACGATGAATCTCACTATATCAGGGAGTTCCACAGGGTACTTATTGGGACCTCTTATTTTCAATCTGTTTATAAATGATCTTACTCAGAATTTCGGTCAAATGCAATGCGATTAATCTTTAACTCAGCATCTTGAAACTTTAAAATTTCGCACTTTTTTCTCTGCGATTTTTCAACCTATCATAAATGCTTTTCATTTTTTGTTACATTTTGATGCTGAGCGACATTTTCTTTGCTGCAACCTGAATTTTTTTGAATTACATCATTTGAACTCTTGGTTTGTCAGGTTGTAGAGAATTCCCCGTTGCGGTTGAAACTTTTGGGTTACTAAAATTACTCGCCCTTTCTAATTTCTATTTGCTTATATACGTATTGTTATTTATAAAAAGTCATTCAAATAGTAATTTCCATATATAAATTGTTTTTCGTAAACCTATGAATTTTCTTTACACGCATTTTATCTCCATCAGGAGACAATAATTGTTTTAAAAGTTTGAACAAACTCTTTGTGAAATGTCAAAAAGCAATAAAATACTGTATACCACACGCGGAAAATAGTTTTCAAAAGCCAATGTTTAATTGTAATATATACAACGTTGTCTTTTCAAACGTTCCAGTAGAACAAAAAAAACTGTGCGTGTTAGATCAAATTTCTCAATTCCATCATTCATGTATTTGAGTAAACATAACAAAACGTATCGTCGAAAATTCCAAGCTTTTGATGCTAACTTTTTAAAATATCTTGGGTGATTTTGGGTTCTTTTTCTTCAAATTATGCAGTTCGGAAACATTTTCCATCAGAATAAACAGTTTTTGAAACAAATTCAAGCTTTTCTACGTTGCAAACTAACTATTGGGCTAAAACTTAGCCTTATTTTTTTTTTCGCCTACAAAAAAAAACACTTTTCAGCCCAAATTTTTGATTGGTGTATGTCAGTTTTTTCTTTATTTTTCGGAAGGAATACAATTTGGCTCGGAGTAAATAAAAAACGATGTCATCGTGTTGTTTGACCGCTTATTTTTTTAGAATATAGTTTTTCTTATCACGAAACTCACTGAATTTTGAAACGCATAATCTTTGACTCAGCATCCTGAAGTTTTCAACGGTTATCTCGTCGTTTTCTCGATCTTAAATTTTTCTCGGATTTTTGTTACTTTTTGATACTGAACGACTTTTGCGGTGCTGCAATCTATTTTTTTTTTGAATTACATCAATTGAAATCTTGGGTAATCAGGTTGTATCGAGTTTCCTCGTTGCGGTTGAAATTTTTTGGTGAAGCTCATTTTTCTATTTTTTTGTAAGATTACGTTTGCTATTTCCTAGCACAAATTTTTTAGTGCACAAAATTTTTTCAACTCATCTTTGCTGTACCAGCAAAATCCTTGCAGGTAAAGTTGACAATCAGATTGAAGCTTTCTCCTCATTTTAAGAAGAGGAATTGATATTGACTGGAGGTAGAAAAAACATCGAGTCGTTATAATTAGATTGCTTAATAGCTATTTCATCTAATACAAATTTTTTTATTGTAACATTTTTCATTTTTTTCTAGGGCAAAAAATTTGGGATTCAGTGATCTGAAAGCTGAAAAATTATCATTTTGATCAGTTTACAGAAAACTAAACAAGATTCCTCTCATTTTTCTAAGTACGAGTAATTCGCTTCGTGGAATGCTTGTACCAATAGATTAAACATGTGTTTGTAAAATTCATAAAGTTGTCAACATCTTGAAATTTAGCATGCAGATTTAGAATTATGAAGCATTTGAGCACGTATCCTAAAATCACCAGTAACCATTACGATAAATTAAAGGGCTAGAATCAGCATTATCGACTAGCATAAAAAATACGCAGAAATTTCAATGGTAAAATTCTTTTACATTCATACTAGTAAATTTGCTTCTGTTTCTAATCTTAACTAGTGTCTCTCTGTTTGCAATATGTGAACTCTCTGCTTGCAATTTTCTATACACTTTTTTATATTTCAACCAAAACTGTTATTACTTTTTTGTATAGTTGTCACAGTTTTCCCACATAAGCCTTACACAGTGCCACTCTTGTACACTTTAAGTTCAAATTTGGCGTCT